AAAAAAAAAAAAAAAAAAAAAAAAAAAAAAAAAAAAAAAAAAAAAAAAAAAATCATTGAAGACAAATGTTTTGTTGCATCCTACTAGAAGAACGAGGTTTGATTTGTTTTGGATAAAGTACAATGATTTTAGGGTCTATGATGATGATCCATTCCCTTTCCAACATTATTGGACATCACTCATTTGTCAACCTATTTGGGACCCTTCACCATCACCATTTATGTTCAATATCTCTATTTAACAACCCACCATTTTTACTATAAGCTTTTAATTTTCATTAATATTACGACACTTGTACATGTTATAATTTTTATCCTTTGTATTATTATTATTTCTTCGACTAATTCAACTTGAACCTCTGTTAATCACTAAATTTATTAAAATGTATATAATCGCCAATTTTATTAAAATTTACTTTGATCGGTATACAAATTAGTTAAAAAGAATAGTTTTAATATTATAAAGAATACTCGAGACTAATAATTGTTTTCCCCTCTCATTTTCACCTCTTTTCGTACACTTTTAGGACATCAAATCATGCAACGTTAATAGCAAACACCTATAAATCCGTCATCAATACTATAACTCTTAGGTTGTCTTTTTGTTCAATTTGTACGATATATTTTTACAATTTTAAAAATTAATTGGGTCCGTTTCTAAATTTTTGACTTTATGTATAATAGATCTCGAACGTATGTAAAATTAAAATCAATAACTTTTTGGGCATATTATAAAGTTTAAAACCAAATGAAATTTATAATTTATTTTTTTGAAAATAATAAATGGATTGGAAAGAGCTATTAAATGCAATGGGACTCTCTAGACATAGCTAGCTGAAGGAATTAAAAGCTCGCAAATGGAGATGGACGATGGCTAAACAAGTTACGTAGGAAAAAATTTGAAAAAATTAAAGATTTAAATAAATGCCAACGTGGAATAAGCCAAGCCCCATCACCCATCCCTCGACCGTCGATTTGCCACGAGTACGCGATTTTCCTCTCACTGTCGTGGCCTCATCTTCCTCCACACATCCATTTTTCCAACTTTAATTGCCACCTCCTCCTCCACGTCACCCTCTCTGTCACTCCATTCCTCTTTTCACAGAGACAGACTCAGAAAAGCGGTATTATAAAACCGAGCAACTCGTTCAAGTTAGATATTATATATTCAAAATCACACCACTTGAAACGATGCCGTTTTGAATCTGGGTGGGTGGCCGGCACCGGCGACGACGACGACGACGACAATGGGTAGACGGCCGTGCTGTGAGAAAGTTGGCCTGAAAAAAGGGAGGTGGACGGCGGAAGAAGATGACCGGTTGAAAAAGTACATTCTTGCTAATGGTGAAGGCTCTTGGAGATCCCTCCCCAAAAATGCAGGTGACTTCCCACCTACATTTTCCCGATAAAATAAATTATTCAACGAGATAGCTATCCTTTTCGTCATTTTTACTAATCTCTTTTTACCGGCCATTGAACGTACGTTGCATCCGTACATCTATCGGTTAAAAAAGATTAGCTATTTTTATAGGACCCGTTATAGTAATTTTTGTTTTTAGGGCTTCTCCGATGCGGGAAGAGTTGCCGACTTCGATGGATCAACTATTTAAGATGTGATTTGGTGCGGGGGAACATTACGACCGACGAAGAAAATCTTATTATTAAACTACATTCTACCTTAGGAAACAGGTAACTCAAATTAGTTTAACTCTTAATTTTAATTATTATAAAGTTTGATTTTTAATTTTTTAATATTTGAAATATATTTCAAAATGAAATTTATAATAGGTAATAAATTGAATGAAAAAATACATCCTTTTTAAGACATAAATTTAATGAGAAAATGAGTTGTTTTAAAGAATTGAAATAATTATTTTTAATAATCTGAAATATATTCTCCCAATGCAGTTCACGAGCTAAGAAGAGAAAAAAAAAATTAAAATAAAGTGAATAATAATATTAATCATTAATTATTATTATTATTTTTGGCTTTTTGTAGACTAAAGTCAAGCATGTCAGACAGGCTAGAATCACAACATGAAAGGAATATGAAAATAGAGGGATAAATTTTAATATAGGGAATAATTTATTTGGATTTTTCTTTATTTTTAATTTTCTATTATTTTGAGAAAATAATTTGGAGGGTTTTATTAATTTTAATAAAAAAATTCACTTTTTAATATGCGAAAAAAAAAAAAGGGAAATATTGTCGTTTTCTAATTTTGATTCAAAATTTTCAGGTGGTCTTTAATCGCTAGTCACCTACCAGGCAGAACAGACAACGAGATAAAAAATTACTGGAACTCTCACTTGAGTCGTCAAATTCATACGATCCGGCGCCGGAGCGGCAACGACGATGGGTCGGTAATTGTCGACGTGGCACGGCTGAGCCTTCCGCCGCGGCGGAAGGGCAGCCGTGGGCGGCGTAGCAAGGAAGCGGCGTTGGCGGTGGAGACAGAGACGGAAACAGAGACGGCGGCGAGAGAGAAAACTGTTTATGGGGCTGTGGATGATCCAGCGGAGGAAAGAGTTAGTTCCAACGACGGAATTATTAGCAAAACGACAGATGTTGGTGGGTCTGCGACGTTGAGTTTTGATAACGACGACATGTCGTTGGACTTGGATGCCTTTTTGGATTGGGACAATGATAACGACGACGACGACATTAAAGTCACCGCCGCTACCGGTGGCGCCGAGGTGGAGACCGGCGGTGAGTGTAGTTCGATTAGTTGTTCGTTCCGTCTGGACAGTCCTTGGAATTGGGAAAGCTTTGTCGATGGGGAGGAATGGGAGACCGGAGAGGATCTCCCCGCCGCCGCCGTGGTGGAATCCGACGCTGTGATTTCTTGGCTCTTATCTTAATCACCGCCGGCGGCGTGATCTTGATTTTGAATGTTTGTAAATTAATGTGTTGATTCTATGGGATATTGGGATCGTTAATTTTGTATATTTTCTTTTAGCTTTCTCTTTGGGACTCTGCAAATCCGTGTAAAGTTCTTTCTTTTTACTTTTTACCGCTGTTATGGTTTGTATTTCCATTGGTTTTGGAATATGTTTTTGTTTCTAAAGTAAAATTTATTTACTAAAATTTACTTTTTACCATAGCCTATTTACACTTTGTAAGCCAACACAACCCACCAATCTCGATCGTTCTCCCTGTCACATCGCCCACTATTAGATATTGTTGTATTATAACGTGTCTTATGTGGAGAGATTTCTACACCCTTATTTCGTTTTCATTCGTGTGAGATCATGGTCTTACTTCATTTTATTTTATACAACCAGGATCACTATCGACTAGAATCACACACGTTGAGAGTGTGCATACATGTGCCACCGTCCACATGAAAATTGGGTTGGTCTGATACTATTTCATGATTGACTTTTTTTTTTCCTTTTTTTTTTTTGTAATTTAAATTATTTTATATCACATTTGAAACGAGTTTCAAATTTATATTATTTAACTGAAACAAAATTGGTGTACGTGTACTAAAAAACAAAAAAAATGGATCAAACCTCTGGGTCCATGTCAGCTTTTTCAGCCATCTCATGTGGGGCCCAAACATGAAAACAATGGATCAAACGTCTGAAGCCCAACTGTGTACCAGACTGCCAACTCACATGCTACAGCTCAGACCAAAACTTAGGTTTAGGGTTTTTGTTATTTTTTTTTTTCTTTTCTTTTTATTTGGATTGAATTGAATTTTTTTTAAAAATAAAATATATTATGTTTGATTTGCCAATTGACATTTTTGTACTCGGGTTAGAAAACAACACTAGTGCATATTTTTCTCTTTGGATTTTCTATTTCGGGCTTTCCTCAGAGATATTGTCAGTACACCACAAGTGTCAAGTTTTGGTACACGTATTTTAAAACTTTAAGAAAGTCTGAAAGAGAACACTAAAAAATAACAATATCTACAAATGATGAGCTTGAACTTGGGCTTATACGGGTTACACCAACCCTACCCAGCTCTTAAAAAAATAGATTTTCCCTTCTAAAAAAATGGAAGTTATCCTAAAGTTTCTCCACCAAAATTAAGGACAACCATTCATTTATAGCAAATTCAAAATGGCCATAATATATATAAACCCTAAACCTCCCTTCTTCCCTTTCACTAATTTTCTCTTCCTCTCACCCTGCAAAGGGTAGAGGCAGCCAGCCACACAATCTATACATAAATAAAAAAGCCTTAATATGGCAGACAATCTCATTTCTCTAGAATCTTCCATTACCGACGACAACAACAAGAACAACAACCTGGTCGGTAACAATGGCAACAATGGCGTCGCCCCTCCTAAGAACACGACAACGAAGAAGAACAAGAGCCTCAACATTCTCAGGGTGGCTTTGATGCTCCTCCGCCGCCGCTCCAGCAAGCCCAATGCTGCTTCTGTTGAGGTTGCCTCTAAGGGCATGTGGAACCGCCTTGTTGCCTCCATCCGCCCTTTACATGTCCAAAGCAATCACTCACCTCAACATCCTCAACCCATTATTGTACCCTCCTTTCCCGACGCCACGTTACGTACCTCGCCCTCCATCGACTGCTTCGAGGATGTTAAGTCGTCGTCTGCTTCTTCTGTTGATGGCATGAGCAGGTACGCTTCCGCCATCAATCTCCAAGAGCTCGACCAAAACAATGAGGATGACAACGATAACGATAATGAAGCCGAGCCAAAAATGGATGAGGACGAGAATGCGGATGATATGATTGATGCAAAAGCCGAAATGTTCATAGCTCAATTCTATGAACAAATAAGGCGCTCCAACTCCGACGTTCGTTACCGAGAGATGATCAAGAGATCGATCGGCTAAAACGGACGGCGGGGCGATATGGGAAAATTCTACGATTTTGATGAATGATATTTTGTTTTTATGAGGGAAAAAGGGGAAATTAGTGAAAAGGCTTGTAATAATGTTTGATATCTATTTATTTGAATCTTTATTAATTTATTTATAAGTTGAAAAATAAAATTTATTACTATTTTCGTAGTTTTTATTATTTAACGAATTCAATGAATTATTAAATAATTGTATAATTATTGTTGCAATAAATATCTCAATTTTGATTCTGATAAATGTCGTAACAATTATGGAAAATAAATGGACCAAATAAAAATATGAAAATAGAGTCTAAATTAGGGAGGAAATCATGACCGTTGGTTGATTGAGATCAATATCCATGGACAATCCGGGAGCATTTAGTCTTAATCCACTGTAGGCCCTTCCGCAGCGAATCCTTCACCTTCCCTTCGACCGTATAAACTTTATACTTGGCGATCCTCTTCCTCCGTTTCCCCTCCGGGTCGCCGAACCGCCACGGTTTCGCCGCCGCTGATGCCGACCCAACTCGGTTCGCAGTTGTAGCCAGATTCGGCGAGCCGTAGATCTGACAGCTGCCGTCTCCTCCGTAGCGTTTGCCGCTGACAATCTCGACCCTTCGTCCGCCGCCGTGGGCCGATTGGAAATGGGCCATTGGAATGGGAGGAATTAATTTGGAGACGGCGGAGCGGAGAGGGGTAAAATCGGAAAAATAGAGAGAATATTGAAATGGTGGTGTGGTGTCTGGAGTCGAGAGTAGTGATACTGGGAGATGAGCTGGAAGCCTTACAACGTTTGGTTTTCCCGATCTCTGTGTCGTACGGAAATCTCTGTTTTATTTTTTTTTATTTATTATTATTTAATGGTTTTTCTGTTCATCGTTTTTGGAAATTGGTAAACGGAGAAGAAGGCGGGATCCGGCGAAGCAAGCGGAATAATCGGTTACATTACCCTTATTAAGATATTCTTCCACTCATTAACCTAATCCTTGTAAATTCTCCCTTCCCCACTTATCTATGGTTAAGTATCCATTCATTCGAGGTTGAACAATCTCTGCAATGGTATGATATTGTCCACTTTGAGCATAAGCTCTCGTGACTTTGCTTTGGGATTCCCCAAAAGACCTCATACCAATGGAGTTAGTATTCCTCGCTTATAAACCCATGACCATTCCTTAAATTAACGAATGTGGGACTTTCATCATCCAACACTTCCCCTTAATCGAGGCTTGACTCCTTTGGAGTCTTAGTCATTTTTTACTGCCTTCGTACCTTTAAGGAGACTTGACTCCTTTTTTCTTTTTGGAGTCCTTTGTTCGACATTCGAGGATTTTCCAGTATATTGGTACGGCTAAGTTTAGAGCATGACTCTGATATCATATTAGATGAACACGACTCTCCACAATGGTATGTAATAAGTTTAGAGCATGACTCTGACGGCAATATGTAATAAGTCAAAGTGGACAATATCATACCATTGTGGAGAGTCGTGTTCATCTAACAACCATTAGATAAGGAAAATAGTCATTTTCCACCACCGTTTGTGACTTTATTTCAAAAGCATACATATGAGACAAATGCTACGACCTCCAACAAATTCTATACGACAATGGAAAGCTTCGTCCCATTTAAGATACCCTTTCTTATTAAATGTTTACTTAACTTTAAACCTAGCATATAAAAGGCGTGTACCAAATAATTTATGACCGAATTCTTCATATTAAATAAAAAATAAAAAAAATTGTACTGCCATATTCGAGATAGGAACGAAATTAGCTTGTCGAGAACCATAAAGAACGAGAACAAATATTAAATTAAAGATAATTATTAGTTTGGGGTCTTACAATATTCTTCACCATAAACATTATGTTTATTTATTAAAATTAAAATCAATAAAATCATACTCAAATGGTCAACTATTCCAAACAAACAAGAAAACACGTAAGGGATTACATAATCAACCCCAATCAAATCAATCCAATCACAACCAACAATAATTTTTTTCCAATTATGATAGTATATCACTCTGTGTCTAACTCTGATATCACTATAGAGCCATCGTTAGTAGATATTTTCTGCTTTAACCCGTTACATATTGTCGTCAGTCTCTATTATAGAGAGATTTTCACGTTGTTACAAGGAAGGTCTTGATCCCACCTTCTACCGATGTGGGATGTCACAGTATTACCAACATACCCGAAGAACTAGACATGTGTAGTTTCATTGGATCCATTTGGAAATTTGATATTAGAATTTGAAGTATTAATGTGAATTAATGATGTAATTAAGAGAGTAACCCATGGCACGTGTCATGTCCATCCCCATTAATTTTAGATAGCAACTTCCGTGATACTTAGGTAGGAAATCCCTCCTTCCATTTAATAACCTCTCCTCCCCACAATACCTAATTAAATTCAACTATTTATATTATTAATATTCTATTTAATGCTATTTAATCTATCAAAATTACTTACCATTTTTTTTTTCTTCATATTATAAATTAAAAAATATAATTTTATTTTTCTAATCTTATTTTAAATTTATCAACATTTTCTAAAATTATGGAAAGAAATTAAATTAAAATTTATATGGAATTTTATTATTGAGTTTTGACTTTTTTAACCCATGTGCTAGATTCAAGAATTTTCATAATTTATTTATTTCATTTGGTTTTGAGGGTTTTGTTAATTAAAATTAAAATTAATTATTGGTTAATTAATGAAATAAAATAAAATGATTTTTTAATTTTTATTAATAATTCAACACCAAATATATTCAGCTTCGGATTCTCACCCACTGGTTCATCTTCCCCAAATTCACAATTCTAGAGAGAGAAAACGAAAGAGAGAGAATGGATGAAAATGGGGTTTCTGAGAAATGGTTCCAAGGGATAAGAGGCTACTGGAAGAAAAGAACCTACCAGAAACTTAACCGGTCGTCACGGCGGCGGAGGCGGCTGGCCCAGATCGGGTTCGGGTCGACCCAAAACACGCGGCGGCGGTTCTGGCGGATCAAGATCTCTCCAAAGCTCCGATTCCTTCGAAAATTTCCATCCCCGAAGAAACTCCTCATCCGCCTCCGTGATGCCTATGTCAATATGATGCTCGGATTAGCTAATTCCCGGGTTTTCTCTGGCGGCGGCGCCGCCGTTATGTGCGACGGCATGGCCGGTTTTGGCAAGCGGCCGGCGAAGGAATACGACGAGAAGATCATTCTGGAGATCTATAAATCCATGGTGGCAGCCCAGCGGCAGGTGGCCCACCTCCCCGCTACCATTGCCGGATCCGAATTGGAAACACCCGGGCCCAGGTGAAAAAATATGTTCAATTTTTCAGCATTATTTCAATTTTAGTCTTTGTTGTTTAATATAAATATTTTAATAATCTCATAATTAATTGAAGATAAATATATAATGCATGTTATTGAACAAATTAATTCAAATTTACACTATAAATTATGTTATTAAAATAATTTATTTACTTTTTGTTTTATCACAATTATTTTTGGAATTCAGCTGTTTTAAGCAAAGCGACGTCGTTTTAATCTTCTTTTAGGGTTTTTTTTTTTTTTTTTAAATATATTTATGTTTAATTTGGAATCATAGCCAAGAAAGCACGTGGGCTTTCTCTAGTCAACTCATTTCCATTGAGTCGGGTCAAAATTGTTGTAGAAACCAGATAAATTAAAAAAATAACTAAATTTATTAAATATTATTAAAACGTAAGAAAATTAGTGTTTCAGTCGATTTACATTAAAAACTAAACTCTTTCATGTTAAATTTATTAAAGGAATAAATCTTTCATCAGATCACTGAAACTCGCTTATAAATCTTTATGATTCTCTTCGATCTCGAGCAACATCTTTATCTCCTCCAACTTTCTATGTTGTTGAATACTTAACTATCGTCAATTCACTCGGTCTCTATCTACTTTATCATCGATGTTTCTAGCACGTGGACAAGGTAGGTACGTAGCGATCATGTCGTTGATGCATCGTTTGATCACTTTCGCCTGGTTTAGTTGGATCATGTGTACTTTTTAATTGGGCCAATTTGGGCTTTTGTAATTTGGGCCTAAGTCGATGTGGGCTTTTGGATCATGGTCCAATTGAATTGGACCTTAAATCTAAGCTTTTGATTGCCTTTTAGTTTAACCCATTGAATATCCAACTTAAAATTAAATTAAATTAAGTTTTCTCAATCACATTTTATTCATATTTAAACCATTTTTTAGGATTTTTATTATTAACACGTGAGAAAACGAAAAAAAAAAAAAGAAATAGTTTCTCAATAATTTTATAATTTGAAATAGTAAAAATGGTTGAAGTCAGTGAATTATATAGTTAAAACTCACTATGGTAAAATAAATAAACCAAAGGATAATAGTTGAGCTATGGTTGTAACCAATAACTAGATAAAATAATTTTAAATTCTAAAAGATAAACTTTAAATCTTTATAAATTAATTAATTTAAATCGTTATGTCAAGATCAATTCATTTACATCGACTTAATTAAAAGAATAATAAATTCCATCTCCGAGAAACATTCTTAATTGTTCATTATCACAAGTTCGATGTTTTTTTTCCGAGTCTATAAAATTTATTATCACTAGACTAACATCGTCAAAATAAATTTCAAAATCAGAAATAAAATATAATAGGAGAGATTTAATACGTCATTTTGATAATCAATTATTTAATAAAATATTTTTATTTATTCCCCAAAATTCAAAAATAAAATTAAGTTTTTGAAACTATTTTTTTTTTAAACTTTAAAAAATAAAAAAATAATAATTATTTTAATATTGTTTTAAATTTTGGCAATGGATAATGATATATCCAAAAGAGTGGATAATATTTTAAGGATGAAAGGGTAAAGTTGATGAATATTTTTATTAATTTAGTTAAATAATAATAAATAAATAAATAAATAAAAGTAATTGACCTTCTAACCCCCAAAATTTTAATAATTAATATTTAGGTCATTGTGGGGATCCGCGGAAAAAGAGGCCTCTTCACCGTACCACGTTGTGGGTCTGCTGCTTTGTCTTCTTCCATTGCTCTGCAACCAAGAGAGTAATAGAGGGAGAGAAGCTGAGGAGAGAGGGAATTGCATTGTAGACCGGCCGCCGGAAAATTCCTCTCTCCGGCGTTTGTTTTGAGGTCTGATTTCGGTTCAATGCTCTTGTCTACATCGTTTTAATCATTGTCTTCTTTTTTCTGCCTTTTTCGTTTCTCTGCTTGCTTTGTTCCCACGGCATACTTTGTTGCTTTGATACGCACTCGCACGGAGGAAAAAGATTGATTCGATCTCCTTCAGAGGTTATATTTGTTGTTGATTTTACATGTATTGTTTTAAAGAGAGCTCTAGAGAACGTTAAAGGAGCCCTAACGGTCATTCGAACGTGTTTTTTATTGTCGATTTTGGTAGATCGATTTGGTTTGAATTGGAAGGAGGAGGAGGAGGAGGGGATTTAAAGGGTGAATATGGTTTGGTTGGTGAAATTATCGAGGGTTTTCTCCGCCGCAATGGTGATGATTGTGCTTGCTCCGGCTTTGCAATCGTTTCCTCCGGCTGAAGCCATTCGATCCTCTCATCTTGATTTTTACCTTCGTTTACCTGTTCATACTGCTTCTTCCAGATCGTTGAACCGATTCTCCTTCCGAAAGGCATCTACATTCCGCAATGCCGGTCATTGCCGTGGCGGTGACCCTAAATTTTCTGGGAAATTTGGTGTGTGCGATCCGAATTTGGTTCATGTTGCCATTACGCTTGACGTGGAGTACCTTCGTGGTTCTGTTGCGGCCGTCAATTCGATTCTTCGAAACTCACTTTGTCCTGAGAGTGTTTTTTTCCATTTCCTCGTTTCGGATACCAATCTCGAGGATTTCGTTCGATCCACTTTCCCTCGGTTGAATTTCAAAGTGTACTATTTCGATCCGGAGATTGTCCGCGATCTGATCTCCACCTCGGTGAGGCAAGCTCTGGAGCAGCCGCTTAATTATGCTAGAAATTACTTGGCTGGGTTGCTCGAATCTTGTGTCAAGAAGGTAATTTACCTGGATTCTGATCTAATTGTGGTTGACGATATCCGAAAGCTATGGACGACGAGTTTGGGTGAGTGGACAATTGGAGCTCCTGTGTACTGCCATGCCAATTTCAGCAAGTATTTCACAGCGCGTTTCTGGTCCGACGACAGATATTCCGGCACATTTGATGGAAGAAAACCCTGTTACTTCAACACCGGCGTTATGGTCATAGATCTGGTTAAGTGGAGGGATGGTGGGTTCACGGAGAAAATTGAATGGTGGATGAAGCTTCAGAAGAGTAATCGCATCTATGAACTTGGGTCACTGCCGCCGTTCCTGTTGGTTTTCGCCGGAAACGTGGCGACCATCGAGCACCGGTGGAACCAGCATGGTTTAGGAGGTGATAACATCAGAGGCAGCTGCCGTGACCTCCACCCTGGTCCGACGAGCCTCTTGCATTGGTCCGGCAGTGGGAAGCCATGGTTGAGGCTGGACTCCAAACAACCATGCCCACTGGATTCTCTATGGTCACCATACGACTTGTACGGATACTCCCAGTAAAGAAAACTTAGGGGATATATGAGGTCGCCGGTAAATTTCCAGCAGGAATGTTTTGACGCTTATCTTGATAAAATTTTCAATTGTAGTCCTATTTTTCTTTGGTTTTTTGTCTCTCTCCAGTCACTTTGTGCTTCTTCTTCTAACTCCATCTTCCAGGCGATGTGTATCCTATTTTACGATTTTTCCTGGCTCTGAAAAATAAATGGGAAAAAACGGGCCATTCGATTTGTTTGTACAGATTTTGCATTCTTTTATGAATGGAAACTTGATGGTGGTTTTCCGTGTATTGATATTAACAATCAATCAATTCTGTTTCTTGCTTTTTTCTTGGCTCTTGCTAGTTTGGTATGATTGTTTATCAAAGTGTAGCCATCCAATCCTTCACATGGTGATCTCGCCTGAAGTGATCAAGTTGTGGTTTATAGACATGGAATTTCCTTGGCTGACCCAACACAGATTATTCGCTGCAGCACTCTGGCTCCATCTACACAACAAACTTGGCTCTTGGGATTGCCCTCTCATAAGGTACGGTTAACATTTCATATATGTCTCTTACTTTGACTCATTTCAAGAATTGTGTACATTGATCCACCAGCACATAACTCTATAGGCACACACCACTATTCTCAAGGGATTTTCTGTTAAAATTGGAACCGAGTTGTCAGACTTAAGCAAAGTTGGAACATTTTTTTAGCCTCAACGTCTGGGTTTTCTTTCTAAGATCAGAAAGTGTGGTCTACGTTTTGAGAATTGGAAGAAGGGTATCAGGAAAATATGGGAGCATGAGGGTTTGGGCTTTATGCTAGTGTGTATAAATTATTAGAAACTTATCCTGAATTGCCACAAGTGGCCAAAAGGGATCGATTGACTGTTTCTAAAATATCCCAATTTGTGCCAGTTGGAGGTCGAAATTGTAGTATTGGAAGAATCTTAAAGGTGTTTTGGTAAGAGGTAAAGTCCATGGTTTCTTTTGAGTTAAAGAAAAGCGGATTCGGTGGTATGTTCAGGTGACTTGTTAACTACTCATTGATCCATTGTCATTTTCTTATGGCCTTACCCAAACGGGTGGGGTCATACCTCCATATGCTTTTCTTTAGTCCCTCCCTTTTCTCATTATCATTTTTTCTAGAAGATATCATCATGTTACGAAGATTTGATCATGTTAAGAGTTCTAACTATTGAGCTATCTTCAAGTTGGTTTCTTCCTCTGCATTTAGATGCTATATATTTATTTCTTTTATGCAAAATGGTAGCCCAAAAGTAGGCGGATTGATTAAGGGGAAGCAACAGATTTATCCATCCGTTTCACTATTAATACTCTTTTGTCGCTTAGAAAGGAAAAAGTTGAGGGATCCCCATGTGTCTCATTGTTCACTGTGTGGGGACAAGTTCTGATGTGGCTGACTAGATTGGATGAACTTTACCTATAGCTCATGTGAAGTTTATCAAATTAATTGTATCAAATTTGGTTCTTTATGTTAAGTATCCAATTAATTGTAACTGAATTTTCCCATGACATTACATGTCAGTTGGCTGAAATTGTAGCAGGTGAATGTCCACTTGGTTCTATATCAACTTTTTAAATTACAGTTTAATAGGTAACTAACCTCGTGCTCTATTTATTTTTACATTTTTTTATGTAGATGGTTAGAAAATCTAGAAATTTCTTTCTTTGCTGTTAAGTTGAGTGAAGTCAGAAACCCACACGTGGCAGGGGCCTCCATGATTGGACTGATCTTTATTCTGAAAATAATTTACTTATTTTAGTCCTTTGTGCTTTGTCTTTGGATT